TTGATAGATAACGCTTCTGGTCACTCTGAAACATTAAATGAACAACACCCTGACATTCGCATATACCACTTATACCGGGTATTTCAGAATTTGACTTTTGCAGAACAAACAGACATGTTGTTAATTTATGGCGAGGTATGTAAAAGCTGTTCGAAAGAACTGTGAAAAATATTTCACTAGAAGGATACCAAGTCGTAAAACGTTTGAAGCCATTGAAAGACGTCTTGGGGAAATTGGCATGCTAAAACCTACACGAATAAACGCTGGTCGAAAAAGGTTTCAACGAACTGCTAACGTTGAAGAATTGATACTAGATGCTGTTCATTTATCTTCTAATACTAGCACCAGAAGATTGTCACTTCGTTTCGAGTACAAGCATATGGCGTACATTGCGGGAGCAACAGTTGTATCCATGTGCAAGATTTATTACCCGAAGACTATAACAAGCGCAGAAATTTCTGCCAGTGGTTAATTCGACATTGTACACGAAACCTTAACTTCTTGAGCTGCCTCCTAGTTACTGATGGATCTTGTTTTGCTAGAAACGGGATTATTAATTTTCGAAACACCCATACTTGGCACGAAGAAAACCCTCATACGACTGCTTCTACTCATTACCAACATGCTTTTTCCTTAAATGCCTGGTATGGTCTTCTTGGTGATAATCTCATCGGCCCTTTCTTTTTACTATGCAGGCTTTCCGGAATACGCCGACACCGCAAGATATCTTGGTATGACGCTGGATGCCAAACTCATATGGAAAGCTCACGTCAAAAAAAAACGTGAGGAACTTGATATCAAATTTAGACACCTATATTGGTTTATTGGCAGAAAATCAACGCTATCACTAAGTAAAGCCGACGTTATACGTCGCAATCGACTGCTATAGCGGTAACTACGGAGAGGCGTCTTTGGGCGTGGTTTGACTGCTAGCGTCAAATTGGCATGTTTAATCGTCAAATTTCCGTGATATATCGAAAGTAGAAAATTTTCTAGCCTTCGCAGTAGCTTTGCTCGCAGTCATTATTATGGTAATAGACATGTTAAACGCAAATTTTGACGGGAACAGTCAAACCACGCTCCTCCGTAGTTGCCGCCATAGCAGTCAATTGTCGCAATTTGACAATTTTGCGTGTAACATCGGCTTAACAAGTTGCTAATATACAAGCAAGTATTAAAACCAAAATGGACATACGGAATCTACCTGTGGGGTTGTACCTGCAAGACAAATGCAAGTCTGATTCAAAGATTCCAGAACAAAGTACTAAGGTATATAAGAAACACCGACCTCCATCGCAACTTGAAAGTAGCATCGGTGTCATCAGAAATTAGTAGCATCATTCGCATCTAAACATGAAAAGAGAATGCACGATCATCCCAACATCGAGGCCATCCAGCTTCTCGACAACGAGAATGTCCTGCGTCGCCTTCAGAGGATGAAGCCGTTCGATTTAGTGACCTAGTGCCCTAGACGATTCAAACGCGAGCATTAGTGCGGAATTATAACAAAAATAATAATACCCTAATCGTGTGTTCCGCGTATCGTAGTGTGTGCGTATTTGTGTTTTGGTCTTAAATGGTAAAAATATGACAATATTTATCAATTATGGATAAAGCAAACTGGACCACTGGGAAAAGCTGCAAAACATTATCTAGTTTAATTTGGTGTTAAAAATAAGTAACTAATTAGTATGTATTTACTAGGAACTTTTTTGTTTAGAAGAATACATCCCTAAAATTCTGAAATACCCGGTATATTTCAACCTATGGATCAGTATATAATAGCCACCTTTAAATTAAATTATTTAAAACAAACATTATAACATAAACTACGTGCCAAAAAAATTGCAACACCTCGAAAGAGTTGAGTCACAAAGCCGAAATATTTACAAGTAATTTGTATTTATTTCAGTAGTAAATCATAACAATTGAAAAAAAGATACTAACAATATATGACAATAAAATGTTACATCCCCACGATTGTTTATGCATTGTCTAACTCTGCGAGGCATGCTCTGAATGAGATGATCAATGGTACCTTGTGGAATCTCATCCTAGGCTTGCTGTCGATGACGACGAATTTAGTGCAAGGTGTTTTCTGCTTGTGGTAAACGTCTTATATAGCGACCCATTATATCCCACACATGCTTGATCGGGTTTAAATCAGGAGAACGAGCGGACCAGGGGAGAATTTTTTCGTATAGGAAGTTCAGACAGATATGAAGTCGGGTGTTATTCTGCTGGAACATGATGTCAGGGCATTCGTTTAGCCGGGATTTTACAACACACTGTAAAACCTTGTGGATGTATCGGTGTGCATTAAAACTGCCAGGGGTGATAACTAGAGGTGACTTATACTCTAACGATATGGCACCCCATACTATAATAAACTGCAAAATCTAAACTGCGCCGCTCGCCACGGAATCTTCTTACCGTCGATCATTTTGCCTCAAAGAGTACCGGGATTTATCGATCCGTTGTCTGTCATGGCACTATAGCACTCTGGCTCTTTTTTAAAGTTACAAAAAAAGGATGACGTCGTAAAGGTCGGTATGAGTGGAGATTAAAAGATGAAATTCGTCAGTATACAGTTCTCCGCGCCACTATCTGCCTCAGATTTCTCATCTAGTCAACAACAGTTGTAGTCGAAGAACAAAATCTGTCTCTAAAGCGTCGATCTTCATGTTCGTTAGTCGCTCAAGGATGTCCGCTTCCAGGCGACGATGTTGATTATCTTCTTCAGACCACACAGTCCATGCTCGAAGCACTATTGAAGGGATTCGATTCAATCTTCGACCAATTTCAAGAATCGATATACCTGCCACGCATGGCATTTCGTTTGTGATGCAATTTTTAACTTTTCTGTTACAGATTGTCTGGAAGTATTTGCTATTAACATGGGTGCTAAAATCCTTCTTGAGAGAGGAGTCAAGAACATGACAGCACGATTTTTCTCAGACAGTCGAGCTGCTCTCCAAGCGCTGCTGGCCGTGAAAACGGTGTCGGCTCTGGTTAATGACTGTAAAAGAATTTTAAGCACACTGAGTTGTGATAACAGAGTTTCTTTGATCTGGGTTCCAGATCACTCTGGGGTTGCTGTCAATGAAGCGGCGATGAGCTAACATGAGAGAGTAGCGCTGAAGCGTTTGTGGGGCCAGAGCCAGCAGTTGGTGTATCATTTGCGATGGCCAAATATAGGATTGGACTGTGGGCTGAAGAGAGACTTCGCCTACTGTGGATCAGTTCTCCTGGAATGAGACATGCTAAGTTGTTTATTAACATCGACACTGTCAAACACGGAAATATTTTAGGACTTGCTCATAGTAGCATTAAAGTTCTAATGGCTGTGTCTTTACTGGGCATTTCCGATTAAAGACACACTTCAACTTGTTGGGTCTAGCCGACTATGTGTGGAGGACGAGGAGACGGTTGAGCATCTTTTATGTCACTGCCCTGCTGTTAATCGTATCAGATTCTCGACTTTTGGGCCGCAGTTTATCTCCCCAAAGGATCTGAATGACTTTTCACCGAGCAAGGTATTAATGTTCGTTAAGAGCATTGGACTGAACGATGAAATTTGTAAATTTACAATACATCCTTAGTGTCGTGGTGCAAGGTTGGTTGGTCCGCCTACCCGATATGTAATTTACGTAAATGTACAGATTGTCTGTTTCACAGCAAAAAACTTGCAATTCTTTATGTATCGATATGACGAGGTGTTGCAATTTTTTTTGGCTATAGCGATGAGATCTTAGGAACTTTTTGGACGAATTTCGACANCATCTTAATTTATTGTCCTCTACATGTCCCTGCTCTGTGTCGGTTCTTATGTGAATCACCCTGTATAGCGATGAGATCTTAGGAACTTTTTGGACGAATTTCGACATTTTAGACTATATTAGAATAGTGCGAGATGCTTCAAAATATATAGATACAACCCTACAACCATAATAATGAGCAACATTGTAGAAATGGCAAAGAATTAGATCTGGAAGTAGAATCAGAAGATGTAAATGAACATGATCTATCATGTTCATTATGTAGTGTATTTTTTCAATACGGACGTGATTTTTTGGAATATAAAGAATATAGCAGTCCTTTTAGATTCTACCGTCCTTGTAAGGAAACTACAAAATTTATATAATTTTAAAAATTACTTCTGGTTTTTCTAAATCTTCCTTTGAAACTTGTCTTTTGTATTTTTTAGCATTATGATGTGCGTTGTGAAGTCTTTCCTCACGCGAAGTTCGTTCGTTTTTTAAACGTGTATATACTGTTTGTACATTTTCGAAACACTCCATTCTTTTTTTGTGGGTCTCTTGAATATCATTTAATGCATCTTGAATTCCTACAAAAAGAGATTATAATTAATAAAAATAATTCTCTATGTTAACAACTTTACTTACTCATCAAATCTTTTCGTTTGCCAGTTAACGCTTTTTTCAATTGCTTTATAACTGTGGCGTTATTACATATTTCCTGTTCGAGTCTTGTCGTTTCTAAACGATCCTTATCTTAAAAATAAAATAAAAAGTAAAATAACAAAAACATGTATTAATTAAATTACTATCTTCTTCAAAGGGTTCTAAACTTTTTCTATAAACAGTATTCGTCATGTTAACAACTTTTAATGTATTTTCCATTGCGAGAATTTCCTTTTCAGTTCTTTTAACTTTATTATCCAATTCGTCACCTTCTTGTTGCAATTCATACCGTTCTTGGGCTTCCCGTATTTTAATGTGAGTAATCGATAAAGGTTGACCATCATCGTCTTTACCCAAAGCCATCAAAGCTAAATGATGTTTCTTTTGAAATTGTTCAATACGTATTTTCCTTAATGATAAATCGGCTTTTAAGCGACTTCGGGATTCTTCAAGGTTTCGTCTTTCCGCTTGTAGAATGTCTTGGTGGGTTGCAATTTCGATTTGTCTTTCTTTCAAAGACTACAACATTTGTGTTTCTTAAATTATTAACATTTTTAAAGTTGTTGATGATAAGCTACCAAATATATATGATATATTTTTTTTTATATTTAACTTTATAAACATTTAAACATATGATATTGAAATATAATTGCTTTTAATGTTAAAATACGCGCTTTGTTATTTAGTTCTTATTTTAGACGTAACGTGGCGTGTTTAAGTGACTTGAGTGGTTAAGTGTTCGCAAATAACATTAAAAGAAGTGCATTTTATTGCTTCGTCGTGTTAAAAACGTGTTAACATTCGTGTACTTATTGCGTTTTTACCGCTATTTAGTTTGAAAATTATTTTCATTTTAACCTCCATGACAACTAAATTTGTTTGTCATGCAATAACAGTCTGGATAACCGCTTAAAGACTGATCAAGTTTTTCTAAATCATTTTTTAATAGTCTTGATTAAGACTTTCTCTCTGTCTCTTTATAGCTTAAATTGGCCTTAAATTGTCATGATAAGGGATTTTTTAGCCAATAATTCGTCACACTGGCCAGACGAGTTGACGAATATTTTCATTCAGTCATTGTTAAAAAATACTAACGACACCAGAGATGAACGACTAGGCCAAACTAGACTTGACAGAACCATAGTAAAGACGTAATGCAGAGATGATATGGAGATGATGTAAACTTAAAAGTATACTTGATGAAGTTAATCTATCAAAAAACTTGACTCTTATGATACCGTGAAGTCACTTCTATTGAAATATTACATAAAATTTTCAAAAAATTGACATTTCCCAAAATAATCTTTTCCAGATTTAGCGCAAACCTATATGATATGATTTTTAAATAATGATAAACTCACAACATTTTAATATTATTGTAGAAATAGAACGCTGTATCCATACACTTTGCAACGCTTCTCCGTAAGCATGATGTAATCATAGCCAGAAGAAGATCGATTCGGTTAATTGATAAAGCTGCAGAAGATATAGAGGATTAAGTCCATTTAACGTGAGACAAGCGATTATCTCGAAAACGGTTCATTTTAGGTAAAAATGAAATATACACATGACGATAACATTTTTTGACCTTGACCTTATTTTCAATGTTATATGAAGGTCACGAACAATTTTTTAAATGGCACTCTATATATTTTATTGTAAAATCTGAATCTGTGGATAAAAGTAAAGTTATTCAAAAAAGAAAATAAAAAAAAAATTACTGTGTGGTTTTGCCAGTACAACGGCAACGGCAAGTAAGATTTATGAATTTTTAAACATTTTCCTACCCGCTTCGATACATAGTCTTTAGTTCTTAATTCTTAGAATACTATTTAAGAATGTTTAACAAAAAAAAAATCCAAAAGAGGTACATCGGGTGACCTGGCTCGTCCGAAATACCTTTGAAAAGAGGTCTAAAAGGTTTTGACATTTCTCCGCCTTTGTCAATTTGATAATAAAATAACGTATAAAAAACAAGAGTTCGTGGAACTGCTTATGTCGGCATTTTCAGAATGTCGCTTTCAGAGACACTTAATTATGCAAAACTAAATATGCATAAAAACTGCTTGGCAACAAATTCTGAATTCATTCCATCGTTTTATATTAAGGCAAAGTGTATAAACTAAGTCATTAAATCATGGATACTCTAAGTGTGGCAGAAAAAATCGAAATGATTTTTATTTATGGAGAAAGTGGCAGAAAAGTTGCTGATAGTATAGCTTTGTATCGAGAACGTTTTCATGATCGAAATACGCCTTCGAGAAGCACCTTTTACAGAGTTGTGAATGATTTCACTAACACTGGAAATGTGGAATCAAGAAAAAGAACTCGGCGAGCAACTGTAACTACGGAAGAAAAGGAAATTGCGGTATTAGCCAGCCTAATCCTCAAGTTAGCACTCGACGACTTGCAATTGACGCCGAAATATCGAAGACCAGCATTTTAAGAATATTAAAGCGCAACAAGTATCACCCATACCACATTTCATTGCATCAACAGCTTTATGGAAGTGATTTTGAAAATCGATTAATATTATGTCAATGGGCAAAAGAACGAATGCGGTTGGACGTTAATTTCGTTGGTAACGTGCTATTCTCGGATGAGTCTACTTTTATAAACAAAGGACAAGTCAATAGACATAACATGCAATATTGGAGCGTTGAAAATCCGAGATGGCTGCGTGAAGTAGAACATCAACGACCTTGGTCGGTTAATGTTTAGTGTGGCATAATTGGTGATAAATCGATCGGTCCATACTTTATTGATGGTATGCTGAATGGGGAGAAGTACCGAATTTTTTTAGATGACATCTTACCAACTTGTAGATATGAGCAGGAAAGAAAGACAAAATATGTGACTGCAAAATGATGGGTGTCCAGCACATTTTTCACATATCTACGTGAAGCTTTAGATCGGGATAATGCTGACCGATGGATTGGAAGGAGAGGTCCAATTTCCTGGCCTGCCAGATCACCTGATTTAACACCTCTTGATTTTTTTTTGTGGAGCGTCCTTAAGGATAATGTTTATCACGAAATACCGACTACGCCAGAAAACATGAAAGAGCGGATAAGAAATACATGCAGAAATAGTAGCCAAGAAAACTTTTTAAAATGTAAAGAAAGTTATAGTAGTTTGGTTTATAGGGGGTATGGTTTTCCTCCTTCGCACAGAACAACTTTCATTTGGTTCATTTTTATGTAAAATGAACTCTTTTCGAAATAATCGCTTGTGTCACGTTAAATGGAGCACCCTGTATAACATCTCTATCGTTCTATCGTTATAAATATTTATATGGCACTGCACATCAAAGATTAAACTTGAAAAGTGTATACAGAGCTAAAATTACCTACAACATACAATTTACAGTAGTTTTCGCCTATTTTTTAGAAAATCGTGTCGTTCAGTGGAAGAAGTTTGTGAGTTTCTGTGATTAGTTAACTTCTTAATATTGGAAAGAATGTACAAATTCCGTAACGAAGAAATTATGAATTTATGGAATGTAGATGGACACTCAATTTTTAATAAGATTATGACAAGAAACATGCTCACTACTATTTCCCAAACGTTACGTTTTGATAATGCTGAATTGCCAAGAAAATAACAAGATTTATCACAGATTATAGCTTTGAGTTATGGCTACCCACACTACAAGATACATACCGTACAAGGTGCCTTTTCAAACAGCTAATACAAAGCCATAATAAGATCCTCCATCTCCTATGGCTGTGATACACTCAAATATTACCAAACGAATTTGAGAGCAAATTCCTGAGGAGAATATTAGGTTCAATTCAGGAGAACAATGAGCGAAACCAGATGTGGAAGGAGCAGAACAAGGAACCAGACTTACCCAATTAAATTAGTATCCAGATTCTACAATGGGGTCAATTTCAAAAAGGAAGAAAGACTGATAAACAGAAAAATTCAAGGAATGAGACCGGAAGGAAAGCAAAAGAAATGTTACGATGCAGAAATTGGAAGAAAGAAGCAAGAGATAGAAAAGGATGGAGGCAAAAATTGAAGGAGGCCAGGGTTCAGTAGCAGACTAGCGCCATAGAAGGAAGGAAATCATCATGTTTCCTACACAAGAATACGAGGTCGCTTTGAGCTTGTTTCTGAAGAAGATTGAAACATGACATCCGAAACGTCAAACACTTGTTCAAAAGAAGTTTCTAGTTCTAGGTCAAGTGTTAATTTTAGTGATAGTGCTAGACTGTATACTTTCATAGGACTAAAAGTAGAACTAACACTAGACCTAGAAGAACTTCAAGCGAGCACTGGGTGAGGCTAACCCATACCTGTTCTAGTAAAAGTAAGAAAAAATTCCATATCTCTTAGTTAGTGTAAATCTCTGCATTTATTTCTTCTACTGCTGTATAAATATTATGGCGCAGTTTGGCAAAATTTTAAATCGGTTTTTAATGTACTGTTTCCCAATCCATCTTTCTGGATATTCTGTATTCAATCCCGTACAGGACAAGCATAATAAGCTGGCAACCATCTTGTTGAAACCAGACTTCTCTGTAGATATCGAGTGGCACATCTTCTAACAAAGTTGTTTAATTATTTTTGAGGAAATACAAATAACATACGAAAGTATGAATTTTTTAAATAACGTGTTTTTTGCAGAAAAACAGGCAAACAGGCCATCTTTTAAAATAACTATGCTTTGGCTTCTCACCCGGTGTCCGCTTGACGTTGAATTTCGGGACACCTGTATATGGAACTGTATACGGAATTTCTGGATAAAAAAGTGTAAAAAACTGGAAAAAAGTGCTTAAAAAAGCATGAAAATCTTAAACAAAAAGTTCTTAAAAGGCACACAATCTGTTAAAAAAGCATAGAATAAACAAAATTAAGCAAAAAACGATAATAGAGAAAAAATAAATAAAAATTTGTTGTAATGATGATAATAATATATTTAATATTTATATTTTACAATTTATTGCGTTTACATAATGAATATCTATCTGCTATTATACAATGCTTAAAAGATTTCTTAATTAATGCTTAAAAGAATGAATAACTAAATGTTTCTCCANAGAATACGACACAATATAACGTAAACAGAGATATCGGAAACTTCGGGGAATCACGCGACTCTTTACACAGTTGCCAATTTTACTCTATGTACACGTTTTTACGCGTATATTGTTTTATATTATATTGTATTATTCTTAAAAATGATATAAACATGCATAAAAAGTTAAAAATAAGCACGAAATAAAAAAAAAGCATAAAATCTCAAAAAAAGCAAAAAAAAGCATTAAAGAATATGTCATATTTGCTTATAAAATTGAGCAATAAGCATAATGCTTAAAATCCGGTCTCTACTAATGATAGTGTTAACTGTAGTTTTAGTTGGTATTCACCGTTAGATTGTTGCATATTTCTCTTGAACTAAAACTAGAACTATATAACACTAGAACTGGAAAGTTTCGGGTTTAGCTGTGCGTCTTCAGACGGACNTAAGTGAAAACGTACTTTTTCTCCAAACTTTCAACCCCTATAACTCGCCCCAGGGGCTTTTACCGCACGTATAAAAAAATGTACGAACCTTATTTTGGCCCATTCTATGACTGTACCAAATTGCATCGAAATCGGTGAGACACAGTTGTGACACTTCCCTTGTAAGTATAGTGCGTACAGTGCAGGGCCTGCTGTTGTTTTAGAATATGCCGACATTTTGAAAAAAAAATATCCTAATGAACCAATACACTTTTTTTTGACAACTTCTTTTCCACCTTGCCGCTATTGGAGCTTCTATCCAATAAAAATTTGAGAGGCACAGGCACCATTAGTGAAAACCGTATACCAGCTAGTCTTCTGATGGATTCTAAAAAAATGAAGAAAGAGTCAAGGGGATGCTACGATTATAAAAAAGTTGATGGCCAAAATATAATTGTTGTAAAATGGCATGACAATAGTATTGTCAGTTTATGTTCAAATTCAGCAGGAGTGAATCCAATTCATTCTGTGAAAAGATTTTCTCGAAAAGAAAAGTAAATTATTCTCGTAAATTTGAGCCTTTATCGTATATATTATGTCAGAGAGAAAAAATAGTATTTTCCTCTTATAGCGCATTGTATTGACATGTCAGTCCACAACGCCTGGCAACTACATAGGAGAAGTGGTGGAACACTAGATCAGCTAAAATTTAGAAGAAGAATTGCCACCACACTGCTATTGCAGAATAAAAAACAAACTACTTCAAGAGGACATACGTCACGTAATAAAGGTATAGATAGATATTCATTTTGATCACAGGGACCACTACGTCATGCCTCAAGATAAGCAGACTAGATGCGTCCATTGTCATCAAAAGACCACCACTAGATGTTTGAAGTGTGTTTCCTTTCATATCATACACAAATTAACAATTAGATTTGTTACTCCTTAAATGCCCACCGTACTATATATAGTACGGCTTGAATTTTGTATTTACAAAATAAATTTTTAATTTGCTTTACGAAATTTGTTTATGTATAGCTTAAGCACTAACCTCTCAGAACATCTACTCATAAACAACCACCAAATTTGTATGGGCATATCCGGGTTAAAATAACTTGCCAAGGGTGTTGTACTACTCCTTTTTTTAAAAATCGTGTGTCAAACTTAATAGACATAAATCCTCTCAACCTTAACTCAATCATACTAATATTTTTTTTGCAAAACTAACGACTTTTGTTGTTTGATTTGTGATTGCTATAGTAGCATGGTTCATAAGAATACATTACTAAAAAATATCTATTAAATTGCGAACATTTCTGACCGTAGTACCTAGATATGATGTACGGGAACACTTTTTAACATTTTCAAAAATATGTCTATTACCACTTAACTAAGAGACATGGAATTTTTGTTAATTTTTACCAGAACAGGTATGAGAACAGGGTTGGCTTCTCGCCCGGTGCCCGCTTAATTGAATTTCGGGACACCTGTATATTAGAACCTATTATTTCTAATGATAGTATTAACTCTAGTTTTAGTTGGTATTCACCGTTAGATTGTTGCATATTTCTCTTGAAATAAAACTAGAACTATATAACACTAGAACTGAAAGTTTCGGGTTTAGCTGTGCGTCTTCAGACGGACGGAAATAAATGCGAAAATAAATTAATAGATATTTTAGAAATATTTTTTAACTTACCGTATCTAATTCTAATTTAAACTTTTGTAAATCATAAATATGATGTTCTTCTTTACTAATTGCTTTCTCTAATTGATTAACTTTTAGTCGTATCATATTTTCTTCAACCTGTTTCTGTTGTGCTCGTAATTTTGCGGCTGCAGCTTGTTTAAGACCCCCATCAAAGGATAACATTTCATCTTGTAATTTATTTTTTAACGTATCCAACTTAGCTTTATCATTAGATATCGCAGTATTTAATCGCCTCATTTCATCGTCTAACCGATTAACTTGCCCCGTTAAAAACGTTTTAACCTCGTTGTGCTGGGCAAAAATTTCCTCTAACTCTGCAATTTTCTCGTTTAAAATATCCGTTTTTTCATCGTCTTTATTTAGATTTTCGATATTTCCAATTTTAACTTCCATTTCATTTTTACGATATTCTACATGATACAGCATCTCTTTTTGTGCGGCGACTTCGTTCATTTTCAATTTGATTTGTTTTTGCATTTTCTTTTTGGCAACATTTATTCCGGTAATTTCAATATCGAAACGTTTTGCGAATTCTTTTAAATCTTCGAGAGCTATTTGACTACGATAAACGATTCCCAACATTTTTTCAATGTCCGTAGTTAAATTTTTCGTCATCATTTCATCAACTTTGATCATATCGTTTAAACTTTTTGTACGTTCGGTTGATGATAAAGTTTTCGATAAAACTTCGGCAAGTTTATTATTTAATTCTTCGTTTATTACAGCAGCTCCGTTTATTTTCGCTTCGTTTGTAGCGAGTGTTTTTTCTTGTTCTTTAACTAATTGGCGTTCTTGGTCGAGTTTTAATGCAGTTGACGCTAATGTACGTTTTATTGTAGTTATCTAATATTGATCAAATTAATTAGAAAGAAATTAAAAAAACTAAATTTTATACAAACATCATTTCCAAGTGTTAAAATGCTTTGAGTAACTTCATTTAATTGCAATCTCAGTCTCGAATTAAATATGTTTAATTCTTCAATTTCTATTTCGAGCTTTCTATTATTCGCTTTTTCATTGAGTAAAAATTTCTCTTCATCTCTTAACTCTGCATCTCTTTCGTCTATAATAGCCTGGGTTAGCATAATATCGTCATTCATTTTTGCAATCTCTTCATCTCTTTGTCTTAAATTTTTAACGGCATCTTGCCATTGAATGACTAAAGCTTTTCTTTCTTCTTCTAATTGCTTAAATAGTTTGTCTAAAAAAGATAAATATAAAATTTTATTTATTTGTTTTTTGAATATATTGTACTTGTTCTATCTTGCATTTGCTCATAATTTCTAACTTCGGCAACCATTCGTTCGACGGTGTCCCTTTTTTGGCACACTTCTACTTCTAAAAGTTGCCGTTTTGTATCCAACTCATTAATTCTTCGGGTATCTTCTTGCGAAAATTTTTTTAACATATCTACATCGTCATCACGTTTCTTTAACGATTCTTCCCATGCTTTTAAAGCTTCCACATCCCATATTGTTTCCGATTTTAATTTATCGATTTTTGCCAATGTTTTTGCGAGATCCGCACGTTTTCCTGATTGTCTGTGTTCAATATCTTCAATATGTTTATTAATTTGCCGCATTTCTTGATTGATTCGTTCTTGTTGGGATTTTGATTCTATTAAACGTTGTCTTTCACTTGCAATTTGTTGAGTGTATGCCGTCATAAGTTTCTAAAACAATAAATTAAAAAAAAATCATACTTTTAAATCGCGGACTTTCTGTTCGTATTTGCCAAATAAACATAAAGAGCATTAGCTACTCTAAGAGCCAATATACAACAAGACTTTTGAAGGAAAACAGTATTGATCTGGTCGAAATTCAGGAAAATTCGATTTCTACCTCTTCAGACAATAAAATACACAGTGTCGTAGTCAAATTTAGACAAATAACCGTGTATCCAACGTTTATAAAGCACCAACTATTTGATAACCAACCTCAGTGATGCAAATACAACCGCAACCTCCAGTATACTTGGGTGACTTTGAGCATGAACAGTGAAAATATCTTGACTGTGATGTTAATGATGAATGCTTGGTGAAATGGGGTGAAAATAAAAATCTTATCTTTGCTGCTAAACACCGCTATACTTTCAGATCCACAGCGTGGAGGAAGGAATGTAAGCCTGAGCTGAATGGGAGAAATTCTCTATGGACCCTGATAAGTACCTGGGCTAGATATCAACCATCCACAAAGTCTATGGCAGATACCTTGGAGCAGTCACAAGTACCGCCTATAAGCGAATCCCCAGGGAATATAATAATAATAATGTCTTTATTCGTACCAACATCAAATTAACAAATTAAATATTCTATACAAAACAAAAAAAATAAAATAAAATAAAATACTAAATTCACTAGTAAATTATAATAGTACGAAATGGCGAAGTTCGGTGCCGAGACACTGCTCAATTTAACCTTAAATTCCATTATAATAATATTCAAAAAATTCCAAAACGTTCAGCAACAAGCAAACAAACTAGCTATATAAAGAAAATAATTAAAGAAATACCTCTGCCAGTACAGACAGAAACGGAAAAAAAATGTAAAAAAAAAGAAAACTAATACTTAATAAATGCCACCTTCGCCTTACATTTAAATAGTTAGGATGGCCGTCTGTTGATCAAGTAAGCAACCAAACACTCGCTTTTTAAATGAGGAGACGCTTGCAAGCAGTTTCGTTTCAGTGGGTAAATCATTGTACATCTTTACAATCTGATAACTGAAGCTCCGTTTAAATAACTCCGTATTGTGGTTAGGAGGTGACAGAGCCCCCCTGAATCTCAAATTCAAGTTATGAATGTCAGTGCGATATTGAATTTTTTGGCATAAATATTGAGGCTTTTCTCTCTGAATTATGTTGTAATAAAACACACAACAATGCAGCTGCCTCCTACGGACCATATTAAGCCATTTTACCTCTGTCAACTTATGTGAAATTCTGTCATACTTCCTAATCCCGAAAATAAATCGCAGACAGGCGTTCTGAACCCTCTGTATGCGCTGCTCATCGACCCTAAGTAAAGACGGCCCATACACCACATCTCCAAAATTAAATTTTGATAAAATCAGCGCATTACAAAGTAGAGTCTTAGTGTTGACAGTGAGAAGATGGCGAGAGGGGTACAGAGCTTTTAGTTTACCAAACGCACCCTGAAGCATACTTGACACGTGACTCCGGAATCTCAAATCCGAATCCATCACCAACCCTAAATTACGTGCTTCAGATACAATGGGGAGCGTTGATCCGTTGACCGTTACCCTGACATCTCCACCATAACGCAAAATATCCATTTTTCGGCCAAATATCATAACTTTTGATTTATTCGGATTGATTACTAAACTGTGATGGTTGGCGGCAGACACCAGATCCGACAATTCTATATTCAATAAATTCAGATAATGTTGTTGTTCTTGAGGTTTATATGATATATACACCTGAGTATCGTCTGCGTAAAAATGAACTTTGCAGTACTTAAAAATATTACTTAAAGGTGCTGTGTAAATTGAGAACAGGGTTGGGGAGAGCACAGAACCCTGCGCCACACCCGACCCAAGAAGGCGTACATTAGATTGATGGTTAGACAGCTGCACGTATTGTTGACGACCACTTAAGAAATTCTCAAAGAATGCAACTGCTGAATCTTCCAGCCCATAGTGCTTTAAAATAGTTAGTAAGAGGTTGTGATTTACTGTATCAAATGCCTTCGTGTAATCCAATAGAACAAGTATAGTCATGTACCCTCTATCTGTTGCACCCATTATGTCATCGATTACACACGTTAAAGCAGTCGTACAACTGTGACCATGTCTAAATCCAGACTGAACCGAAGGAAGGATGTTATTAATTTCCAGGTGATGCTGCAGTTGACCATTAATAATTTTTTCCATGATTTTTGACATTGCCGTTAGTATACTTATTGGACGAAGGTCAGAAACGAGGATCGGATTAGCAACTTTTGGAATCGGGCGCACGACTGCTACTTTCCACAAAGAAGGAAATACACTATTTTGAATACAAAAATTAACAAGATGTGTGACATAAGGCAGTAGAAATGGCATACAGTATTCTAATGTTTTAACCGATACTCCATCGGTACCAATTGCATTAGATTTAATTGATTTCAAAATCTTCAGAACATCGCTTTCAGATACTGTAGAAAATCTGAGAGGGATTACAACACGTTCATTTAAGTTGGAATACATATTATTATCAACGGTGGTATTAGTGCTGGGAAGCGAATCAATAAAGAAATCGTTAATAATAGAAGCATCTTGAAAGTGGTTAGGAAGCGATCTATGTTTGGACTTAATTAATTTCGTGGATTTCAAAGTATGCCAGGTCTTAGCACCGTTACCCAAATCCAAAAAATTTTGTAAATATTTTTGTTTACAATTGCGATGCATATTTGTAACCAAGTTAAGTATATCGGAAAGAAGTTATCTCAGGATGGTGTGAAAACAACGACCACCTTTATCAAAGCGTCCTTGAGATGGGTGACCAAGAGGTGTCGGATGAGCTTCTCCACAGCTTTGACATCGCAAGGCAAAACAGAAATGGTTGGAAACGGTAGAAAACCTAAACCTCCAAACCTAACATAAACTTTCCTGAGGAAAACATCTCTCCAAATATTCTCACATAGCAACAACGTCCAGCACAAGTACAAGTACCTACAATCAAAATAAAGCGAGACCTCAGGAATTGTAGATTAAGGCGAAGGAGACTGAAATCATTCCAGGAATTCCTAATAAATAGCACAAAATATGGTAAATTTTGGCTTACCAGATTCTTTACTGATCTAATCCAGGTTGGTAATCTACCCAGAGGATTCAAACAAACAAAGGTAATGCCATCCTATAACCAGGGAAAACAGCAAACTTACCTAAGAGCTACGGGCCCATCTTATTATTATTAGTAACATACGAATTACTACAAAGGCTCATCTATAACAAAATATGTCAGAATGTGTTTGTTGTAATACTGATCGAACAGGCAGGTTTCAGATCAAAATGATGATGAATTAACCAGGTCCTTTCGCTTTCTATTGAAGCGGTATTCCGAAGAAAGCACAACATTTCTGCTGCATTTATTGATTGCAGTTCCTCCGTGTTATTCTATCTAAATCAACAGGTCGCCTAGCAAATAATATGATGAATGACAGAACATTCTGAATTATCATGGGGTTCGATGTGAGCTCACCAAGAAAACTAAAGAAGCAGCCTGCCGCAAGGGTCGGTGGTCTCTTTAACCTATGTATAGCAGATATGCAAGAAGCAAGATCTAAAAAAAATGTGGTTCAATCGGTGTCATCCACAATGTTACAGTTACACAATTCAACCCATTATATCTGCTGATATAGTAGACGCCACGAGAGCTGGCAGTAAATCATCGTTTTCCGCTGTTACAAATGCCATACGTAGTAAATTAAAATTCACAAACCGCTAGAGAGTAATGTGTGTTAGAAAGAGATAGCATTGGTTTAATATGTCTGCTGTACAATTCAAATAGCCACGTCGAAAAAGTACGTCTGTTCTTCTAAGGGATGTAACTATAATTATAACCTCACATCGAAACGTCTTGTGAATCTGTTGGTGTTTTCACAAGCCGAAAATGAAATAAATTAATAATTAATGAATAAATTATGAACCACTGTTTAAATAAAACTTACTTAACCCTTTGTGTCCCAAGAAGTCAAACATTTTGAAACTTTGTGACAGAATCAGACAGAATTAAAACGCTATCAAAATACACTCAGTAAAGGCCTTAGAAATAAAATTTTAGCAAAATATGCAATCCCCCTATTTTCGCATAGTCTAAGTGTCAAAAAAGATGCTAATTCAAAAATTCCTGGAAACCGTGTTTATTGAAATTAAGAAATAAAACTTATTTTAAATTGAAGCTTGAAGCTTTCTGTTTAAATCGATGTATAACAATCGATGGGTTGAATTAAAAAAATATTGAGAAAAAGAGTATTGAGTTAAAACTAACATTTTCGTATAACCTAAAAGTGTCAAAAAAGATGCTAATTTAAAAATTCCTGGAAGCCGTATTTATTGAAATTAAAGAATGAGACTTATTCTAAATTAAAGCTCAAAGCTTTCTTTTTAAAATGATGTATAATAATTGTTGGGTTGGATTGGAAAAATATTAAGAAAAAAAATGTTGAAACAACACTTACATTTAAAAGAGTCAAAAAAGATGCTAATTTAAAAATTCTTGGAAACCATGTTTATTGAAATTAAGGAATGTGACTTATTTTAAATTTAAGCTCAATGTTTTCTTTTTAAAATGATCTGTAATAATCACACCTAATAACCATTTATCAAAGAAATACCTTCTTGAACAACAAAATTCAACAGCACCACTTTTCACTAAACTTCTAACCTCACATCTGGATGAATAAGTTTAAAGTGTACCTAAAAATCCTACAGTGCGGATTGCGACGTTTTTTATACAGATTATTTCTTGTATACACTTGTATAGTAGAAAGTACAGACAGCTCTAAATGCGCCGAATAGATAACTACAGTTTAAAATGAGTGTTTAAAATTACCGGTACTTTAAAGTACCGTCGGGACACAAAGGGTTAATCCCTTGCGACCTGTAAATAACCTTTTAAAGTATTTGATAAATAAATAAATAATTACATCAATTTTATTATAAATTAATATTAACGATTTTTCGCTGCTTAAGGTCTTCTAAATTTGGCAATGTTTGACATATAACCTCCATTACTAACCTAACATATATACATTTAAATATATGTGGTGAAATAATCTAAGTCGTACGTCCATATCTTGATTCATACCATTTTAAAACGTCAAGTCACTGCCAGCTCTCGTGGTTTCTACTATAGCAATCTTCTTTCTCCACTTTTAATTGTTTTAAAAGCTAACAGCTCTATTTGAGAAGATAAGGAAATAAGTTACTAGGAAAAGTTGTTCAAAAGTAAAAGGTAATTTATAATACCAATTTTCGAAAAAATCGGCAGTCATTGTTGCGAATACCTAGAGAAAAGAAGAGATACGATGAAAATGATGCAAGTACTTTGTTGGTATTACATTCAGTAGAAGAACACCCGAAATTATCATTAAGAAGAAGTGCTGAAAATCTCTAATTTGTTAAAAAGTTGCTAATTCAGAAGATATTAAAACACAACAAGATACATCCATACAAGCCAGTTTTTAATCATGTTTTGGAAGTCGGCGATGAAGCAAAACGTTTGGATTTTTGTTTGTGGGTTGGCAGTATGGAAATAATGTTTTTTGATGAATCAACTTTTTCGACCAGTGACTCTAATCCGCATTTTCGAATACCACGGAGACGTCAGTACTGTGTTAAAGTAAATGTGTGGTGCACCATTTCTTATTACAGAATAATAGGGCCATACTTCTTTGACACTACTTGTAATGCAAATAGCTCCTCGACGGTGAATTAGACAATCTCCCATTAGAATACAGTCGTTCATTTTATTTTCAACAAGATAGATGCCCAGCATATTATGCGGCAACGGTTAGACAATGGTTAGAGCATACATTTCCAGACCACTGGATTGGGAGACAAGGACCAGTTCAGTGGCCTGCTAGGAGTCCAGATTTAACATTAATGGTTTTTTTCCTTTGGGGCCGATTGAAACAAATTGTTTATCGCACACCTCAAATAAATGCCACTTTTAATGAATTACTTATTCGTTTCAAGGCATGTGCCCAACAGGGTGGTAGTGTGTTTGAGTAAATAAACTTACAACTTTTGCATACCTAATTTAATGAGTTAATTTGGAATTAGTTAATTGATATTAAAATAAATTTAATGATCACAAATAAATAAAAGTAAGAAAGTAGTAAAAGTTTTTCCAATTTTCTGAACACCGCATATAAAATATGTTAAATGTTTCTATGCCAATCTTACTCTAAGAACTAGCAAAATTTTTTATCAAGATTAACTTTTTTCGATAAAATTAAAAATAAAAAGGCTTTTCCTATTCAACACCTTTTCCGTGGACGTACTGTATAGGAGATATGCAAGAAGCAAGATCTAAAAAGTACAGCTACGACAATGACTGGACTTTTGCAATACAATAACATTATAACTTGGAGTTCCATTCGGAAATACACAATTCAACCCGTAATACTAGTTTCGGACTGGAAATACCATGTTTAAAGATGACAATATATACGTTTAATTAGCATTACGTTCTATTTGGCATGAAAATCTGGCTACAAATTTGCTACAAAATGTATATTGTGTGAATACTGGTATCAAATTATTATTATTTCTTAGAGTGGCTATTATCCTGCAGTTATTAGTGAACTAACACTATCAGACACTAATTAAAACACTTGTCTAATGTATTTGGTTTCAAAACATGGAAAAATGTTATTAGAACATTCTCTGATCAAATTATTCTTTAGCAGTATGATATCAATTTACATCAGAGAGATAATACATTAAAATTGCAGCCCCTAATGCATAACCAGTTCGGATTATAAGTGCTTTTAAATAGGCATGGTTTGCAAGTGGATATGTTGAGGAGAGACCAGATCATTTTGAAAATCCCGTAGTGGTTTGCTTCTTTGAATGAAAAGCCAACATGTGATATCTGCATGGATGTAACGGCCATAACAAGAAATGCACCTGATACCAATTTTTGATACTGTACCAGGTGCAAATCGGGTACACTTTATTTCCTGCTCATTTCTTGATCCAAAACTTAAAATAATTTTTTTTGAAGAAGACCAAAGAAAAGGAATCAGATCAAAATTGTAGGAAATAGGAAAGTGTGTTATACAAGATCGCCAAGAACTAATTGAAATTATTGATACCACTGAAAATAGGAATAGTTATGAAGTAACAGAAGACAATAACAATTTAAATGAAAGTGCAGATGAAAACTTACCCTTAAGCATATTGCAGATAAAATTAATTCCTGCTAACAATAACCAAAACAAAACAATTTGGGATTGTTATAAGGTAGTCCCACAAAAACAAACTACAATAAATCTACTAATTTAGAGTCAAAGATAGAGAATTATTTAAATCAGAAACTCATTCTAATAAACGGGCATTTTGGCGTTTGGCGTCAATGTAAAAAAAGTTTTTAACTACACCTGAAAGTTCTATATATTCAGAAAAGTTGTTTTCGGAGGCAGGAAACATTTGGTAGCAAAAAGAATAGACTACTATGGCTCAAGGACAGTAGAATCTAACAGGACTGCTACATCCATTGTTGTGACAATCTGCCCGCAAACTACGTCACACCATTTTCCACGCCCAGCTGTTGTTATGGTCTATGCTTTTGCTGTGTATTTTTAGAGGTTGTATTCTAGACGTATTCATATTATTTTTGAAGTTTTATGTTTTTAGACGTATTAATGTCTATTATATAACCAACCCGTAGTGGACTACAAAAATATAATGGATGTAGCAGTCCTGTTAGATTCTACTGTCCTTGACTATGGCTACTATCCTTAAATGGTGAGAAACTGATATTCCTGTACCACATTCCCTTACTGGACTATTAAAAATTTGAGTTTTTATACAAAATATTTATATGTTTCCGTTGAATTAGATACTGGTAAAGAGGCGAAATTTAGGAAAAATTGTTGAAAAATGGTAATATATACGTGAGTTTCATTATTTTATCATTTTTACAACTTTTATTTCTAGTTTTAATATTTTATTATCAAAAAAATGACATTTCACTACGTTCCTATGTTCACTCACTTAGTTATACCAACCTTGAATCATTAAATTAACTAAAAAATTTGTTTAATTGTCAAAAGTCAGCAAATGTAATATCGTTATTACATAGTTTTGTTACCTGATTTTGTTCGGATTCCTGTTTAATATATTTCAAATGTTTGTCCATCGACTCACACTTAGCGGTAGCATCGTCGAAATTTATTTTCGCCTTAGCTTTTCTATCGGTTAAGCGTTTGACTTCTTCTTCAAGAGCTTGATTTTCAGCGTTTGCTATTGGAACATGAAACCCATTTGTCCAACCGATTTTTTCTAAAATATTTCGAACATCCATTATCTTTTCGTCTTTTTTTACTTCCTATTTTCACAATATTTTAGCGCTGAATTGTAGTATTCATCGAATTACACACTGTTTTGAGACCTTTGAGTTTTTACCGTTTTTGTTTAATCAATAACATGTGTTTCTAAGGTTATATTGATTGACAACAAATCTTTAATTATTAAATTTCGATGTCGATAGATGGCCCTATATTAAATTTCTATTTTTGACAGGTGAAAAATAAAGAAATCATTAAAAAAATATACAGTTGCTCACAAAATTGAGTATACAGCGGAATGAAAGTGAATATTTCAAATAATTATTTATTTATTTTAAAGTTTGTGATGTATTTAATATTGTATTAACAATAATAATAAACGATACGAAATTCACGTCATAAAATTGAAATACTCAATTTTCAATTTAAATATACAGGGTGATTTATAACATATGGAGCAGACTAAAAGGGTAGACTGACGAGATTTTATTAATAATGTTTTGTTAAAAACTTAATAGTTACATAAATATCGCATGTTAATTTTTTAAATAACTTAATGTCCATTTTTGAGAACCGCTGATATTCAGTAAAGGACAATTAATATACTTGTCAACGCCATCCTCATTTTTGATGGAGCTGTAAAACTAGACAATTTATTGTTTCAGTAGTTTTGTTATTTTAGATAATACGTAATTTGTTAAAAGAAAGAATAGATGTTAATTTATGAAACGTCTAATAATAATGTTTTAAATGCAAAATTATAAAATCTCTAAAACAATTATTTAGCTACTCTAAAATTGCAGCTGTAAAGGATAATCAGCGGGAATCAGTCCTTACACCTTTTGCAAATGGTATGTAAATTTGACGAGCAGTAGTATTTGCATTTGCATCAACAATTTCTAGAATTGCTTCTTCTACATTCACTCCATATCTGTTTGGTCTACCGCCACCAAGACCTTTCTTAGGTTGTCTCTCTTCCAAGCTGGACTAACCGNAGACACTGAGGATTTTAAAGTGCTAAGTTTCCTAAGAAGGGGAAAACTCCATAACTTGAAGAATTATCCACTCCAGCAAAGATACAGAAGTTCACTTCCAATTTCGGTTGATAAGAAAAACGATTTGTGTGCATTATTACGATATGTACCACCTGTATTCCACGAATTCTATAAAAATTTACCAACTTCTGAGACTGCCATTGATAATGATCCCGATTTGATAAAACAAGTAGAAGAAGAAAACATTTAAGGATTGCTCTTAAGGACGTTGGCGTCGTTATTCTTTTTGTTTCGTATTACAAACATATACTTTATTTTGATTATTCCAACATTTTGTTATTGAATAAAAATGTAATCGCTCAGCGCCATTTTTTTGCTTGGCTTAAGTCCTTACGTCAAACAAAATAAATACAGGTAGTTATTAATCAGAGGGTCTTGAAGACTTAAGTCAGCCAAATTCAGGTAAATATTCATTTTTNAACTAACCGAAGAAAAGTGTTTTCTGAAGACATCTGTCGATTAGGAAATCGTTTCAAATACAGATCTTTTGCATGTGCAGCGTTTTCTCCAGCAGCTCCATAAACAATAAGCACATCTACGTATTCCTCATTACTGTAAAGTGCCATTGTACTTTTTGATTTGTAATAGTTCTAATTTTGACACAAATCGACAATTTTCTTGAATTTTGCAATTTTTAAAAGCCTATATAAAATCCAGTTCTTGGAATATGAGGATGAAAATTTCCCAAAATGTTAATAAAAGTGTCCTCTTTCCAATGAACCAACACGTTTTGAAAAATAGCTTTTGGTTTTTGAGAAAATAATATTTGAAGTTTTGATAAAATTTTTGATATTGTAATTTTCATCGATAACTTTCAAAATTCGCTATAAAATTAATTTCATGAAGGATTCATGTGGATATATCACCAATTATTAATTAAAGCATCCTCTTTTTAATACAAAAAGCTGTTTTGACAAATCACTTTTAGTTCTTGAGAAATAAATTTTTGAAATAATCGANTCATTGATGATTTCTCATTTCATTCTTCAGCAAAGATTAAGGCTTAGCTAAGGCATAAATAAATAATTTTCATTAATATATCCATGTAAAAAATTAAGTTGGAATAATTTTATCGACTGAAATCTTCAAAAAATTGTCAAATTTCGAAAAAAAAAATTATCTAGAATTGTAACTACAAAAGAGTATTCTAATATAAGTAATATAGTAGTACTATATTAGAGAGAGAGAACAATATATATTTGGAATATAAAAATAATAACTATAACAAATACGAATAAATAAAAAAAAATACATATACAAGGTAATTCAAATTCGACCCCCATCATTGGGATCTCAGAAACCATAAGACATACAGAAATGGTTAAATGGGGGCAAAGTTGGGTATCTTAGAGCACATCATTTTTCAACTAAGTTTTTGGATCTAGCCGTTTTAGTTTTTAAATATAAGATAAGTTCAAAAGGGAGACCTGAGACCTGAGTATTCCTGCCCGAAGAGTATTGATTTTATGAATATTAACAAAAATTAAGGCCAAACTTAGTTTAAAGAAGAACAAAGTTTATAAACAAAAACTTTCCAAAGTTCATAAACATTTCTCTAGAGTCTACGCCTTTTCGATGATGATTGTTCTGGGCTAGTGTCAGCGCTATTGCAATCATCGCTGTCATCAGTTTCTAAGCCACACATAATGTCAACTTGTGACTCCATTGCTGACCCTTCTGCAACTTCTGGAAATTCTTCATCATCAGGATAATCCATGTCTTCGAAGACATGTCTACTCCACCAGCAAATTTCCGCAAGTATTGCACTTGGCAACTGTTTTCCTCTGTATCTGTGATTTGTTTTTTTATTAAAATGACTTTGAAAAAAAACAACATCGTTCTCGAAAATTGGCGTCCACATGTCTTTGAAAATTCACTATTTATATCATCATCTGGACTACTTCAGCAGACAATTGGTCACTGAAACTGAACAAGGCGAACGCTACCATCAAGTTGCTATGCTATTTGAAATTAGGTAATATCTATGAGATTTTTTTTCAAACTCATTTTTATACAAAAAAAAATCACAGATACAGAGGAAAACAATGACCCTGAAAATGTTCCACAGTGTTATTAATTAAAGTATCCTCTTTTTAATGCAAAAAGCCGTTTTGAAAAATCACTTTTAGTTCTTGAGAAATAAATTTTTGAAGTAATCGACAATTTTATCGAATTTTGCAATTTTCTCCGATTAAATTTTAATAATTCGTATAAAATCGATTTCTTGGAAGATGTTTTGAAAAATAACTTTTAGTTTTCGTGAAAACAATACTTAAAGTTTTGATAAAATTTTCGATATTGCAATTTTCATCGATAACTTTCAAAATTCGTTATAAAATTAATTTCTTGAAAGATCCTTGTGGAAATATCACCAATTATTAATTACAGTATGCTCTTTTTAATACTTGTCAACGCCATCCTCAGTTTTGATGGAGCTGTTTTGTTATTTTAGATAATACGTAATTTGTTAAAAGAAAGAATGAATTTATGAAACGTCTAATAATAATGTTTTAAATACAAAATTATAAAATCTCTAAAACAATTATTTAGCTACTCTATAATTGCAGCTGTAAAGGATAATCAGCGGGAATCAGTCCTTGCACCTTTTGCAAATGGTTCTGGGAAACTTCGAATTGGTGAGAAATTTGACGAGTACTAGTATTTGCATCAACAATTTCTAGAATTGCTTCTTCTACATTCACTCCATATCTGTTTGGTCTACCGCCACCAAGACCTTTCTTAGGTTGTCTCTCTTCCCCGCTGGACTAACCGAAGAAAAGTGTTTTCTGAAGACATCTGTCGATTAGGAAATCGTTTCAAATACAGATCTTTTGCATGTGCAGCGTTTTCTCCAGCAGCTCCATAAACAATAAGCACATCTACGTATTCCTCATTACTGTAAAGTGCCATTGTACTTTTTGGTTTGTAATAGTTCTAATTTTAACACAAATCGACAATTTTCTTGAATTATGCAATTTTTAAAAGCCTATATAAAATCCAATTCTTGGAATATGAGGATGAAAATTTCCCAAAATGTTAATAAAAGTGTCCTCTTTCCAATGAACTAATCCGTTTTGAAAAATAGCTTTTGGTTTTTGAGAAAACAATATTCGAAGTTTTGATAAAATTTTTGATGTTGCAATTTTCATCGATAACTTTCAAAATTCGCTATAAAATTAATTTCTTGAAGGATCCTTGTGTAAATATCACCAATTATTGATTAAAGTATATTCTTTTTAATGCAAAAAGCCGTTTTAAAAAATCACTATTAGTTCTTGAGAAATTAATTTTTGAAATAATCGACAATTTTTTCGAATTTTGCAATTTTCGCCGATTAAGTTTTAAAAATTCGTATAAAATCCATTTCTTGGAATATGAGTATGAAAATTTCCCAAAGTGTTAATAAAAGTGTCCTCTTTCCAATGAACCAACCCGTTTTGAAAAATAACTTTTAGTTTTTGAGAAAACAATATTTGAAGTTTTGATAAAATTTTCGATGTTGCAATTTTCATCGATAATTTTCAAAATTCGCTATAAAATTAATTTCTTGAAGGATCCTTGTGGAAATATCACCAATTATTAATTAAAGTATCCTCTTTTTAATGCAACAAGCCGTTTTGAAAAATCACTTTTAGTTCTTGAGAAATTAATTTTTGAAATAATCGACAATTTTTTCGAATTTTGCAATTTTCGCCGATTAAGTTTTAAAAATTCGTATAAAATCCAGTTATAGGAATAGGAGTATACAAATTTTCCAAACTGTTAATAAAAGGCCCTCTTTCCAATGAACCAACCCGTTTTGAAAAATAACTTTTAGTTTTTGAGAAAACAATATTCGAAGTTTTGATAAAATGTTTGATGTTGCAATTTTCATCGATAACTTTCAAAATTCGCTATAAAATTAAT